GGCCAATCCCGAAACTGAACCTCCAGTGTTGTCCCCCACAGGGCCCTGGGTCAGTGAGGCACATCGTGTCTCATAGTGGGAGCGGGGATATCGTCCTCCAGCCCTAGTGGACCAGGATGTGCTCCACCATCTCTTCCTCCCCATTGATTTGCTCCCATGTGCTCTGAACAGACATGTCCCTCTCCCCTAGCTGCAGCTTCAGTGCTGTCCTCTAAAGTAAATTCTTCTGGGGGGAGGGGCAGTTGTCCACATAGCTGGTATGGGGCAGACAATTGATTTTGACAAAGGCCACAAAAACATGAAATGGGAAGCGGATGCCCTCTTCAATAAATGGTGTTGGGAAAGCTAGACATCCACATGCAGAAGAATGAAACAACACCCATATCTCCCTCTATGCACAAACACAAACTCAAGATAGATCAAGGACCTTCATGTAAAACCCATAGCTCTCAAGATCATCAATGAGAAAAGTGGAACAAAGCTAAGAGCCCTAGTGCAGGGAATACATCTATCAGAAACAACAAAGGAAACACACTCCTTGGAAGATAAAATAGATGAATGGGCTCTTTTAAAAACAAAACACTTGGGTACATCGAAAGACTTTATTAAGAGAGTGAAAACAACCTAACAGACAAAGTACTAATGACTAAGATCTACAGAATCTTACAAGCTTAAAGGAAGAAAAAAACTACAAGCCCTCTGAGAAGGTGGGCAAAAGATCTGAACAAGATTCACAAAGGAGGACATCTGAATGGCGATTAAACACGAAGAAATGCTCCAGGTCATTAGCAATGCAGGAAATGCAAGTCAGCCCAACAACGAGATAAGCAATTAACACCCATTACTGTAGCCCAATTAAACAAATGAGAGCAAATTTTGGAGAGGGTACGTGAGACAGGAACTCTTATCCACTGCTGGTGGACTTGTAAATACATACAGCCACTGTGGAAGGCAATATGGTGATGCCTAAAACAGATGGCAATTGAACTACCATATGGTCCAACTTTACCATAACTGGTATTTACCCAAAAGAAATAAGAAACAGATTGCGAACAGATGTTTGCTCCCCGTTATCACAGCACAGTTCACAATAGCAAGAAGCTGGAAACTGCCTAAATTCCCATCAAGAGAAGAGTGGATATAACAACTCTGTTACATACACACAGTGGAATACTACACATCTCTAAAAAATGCGCTGAAACCATGAAACACCTCAACTCATGGAGAGACCTGGAAGACATTATTCTGAGTGAAGTTAGTCAAGCACAAAATGGCAAATACTATGAGTCCACGGCGGTGGGAACTAACAGCAAAACAGGCACAAGCTCAAGTTTGCAGGCCATCCAGTCTTCTGGCCGGTGATCAGACAACCTGGTAAAGAGTTGTACCAGTGGCACTGAACCACAATCATCTACTCCCGGTAAGTACAGTGTAGGTCACTTGGCCGGAGGGCATCTCAGGGCAGCTGGGATCCAATGTCTGGGGGCGAAGGGAAGGACTGCTGTCTGCTGAGTAGTTGCCATGTGGATCTGGGGTGAGGTCCCCTGGAGAGGGAGACCCTCCTGATGGATGAATGAGGCTTACTGATGGGAGGAACACCACAGAAGAGGTGAGAGGGAAGGGTCAACTTTGGGGGAACATAGGTGCGTGCCTTTTAAGGGGAGGGGTGGGGAGGGCAGGCTGACCTCCAGGTGGGGGGATGAGAGACAGAGGATGCTCTTGGGAACATTAGGTGGGGAGGGTCTTTAGTGGAAGGCAGCAGGTGGGCAGAATTGACCTAGGGCACCTGGGGTATCCTGGGAACCTGGGTGGGGTGCCATAAAATGCTGGGGCACTGAATCCTGTATCTTTGGGGTACACATCATGTTCCAGAGACCGCATAGGGGAGGCCCCATTTGGGAACTCCACTAGGAGAACTGGACTCTACCCAGACAAACTTGCAACCTGAGGACTTAAGGTGGAAAACACAGGGTGTCTGAGGAAGCAAAAAACAGCTGTACCAAGAACAGTGTACTGTTGGTTGGTGGACAAACAAGGTCTTGCTACATCCATGCCCTGCATGCTGTATTAAGATACGTATTGTTCCAGCAATCCTGTGACGACCATTCTGTTACTTATGCTTGTGCTTGTTTACATTAGGGTGTGTCTCAGAGGGGTGTCACCATTTGGGCTCACCGTCGTGAAGCTGTGCTATCTGGTTTTTGGTAAATGAAACCCAGGAATGTCAAGCCTATAGGGAAAGACAATATAACAAGGTTTTGGGGAAAGGGGATATGGAGGGGTAGGGGGAGATAAGAGGGAGATGATACCAAGAAGTCCACAAGGAAAAGCATGTCTGACATGATTGAACTACGGAATATGACATGTGTTAACCCCCAGGTTACAACACATTTTTTTTTAAAAAAGCATAGATCCAGGATTGGGTTTTGGACTCCCACTAAATCCTAGCTCCAACTTAAGAGCATCATGGCCCTGCTCCATAATGATGACCTTCATGAAAGAATCCCTGAAGATAAGGGTGCTACAGCAAAATATGGTGAAGAATGTAGATGGTGCCCGGCTATCAATCAGCATAATGTCTGGTCTTAAAGACTTGTATTCAAACAGAGCAGCCATCTAAGCAAGGAGTCAACTAAGTCCACACGGAAGATGCACATCAGCTTGTGTTCTCCAAAGATGACAATTACAAAATTCGAATATGGTGGAAAGTATCAGAGCTAAAATTATGACCACCCCACTTGTGGAGGGCTATGGGGGACAGTGGGAGCCCCCAAACCCACCTGAAGAGTATCTGGTCAGACTGAGCCACCGGCAGATCCGCTCTAGCTACCGGCAAGAGTGTGGAAACAACCTTCCTAGCAGGCAGAGACCACTGTGATCTTGATTATGCTGGATTGAACCCGATACTTGGCCAGTTGACCATCCTATAGGCTTGAGCTGATTTAGTTCTGGGTGCAACTATCTCTTACTTGTTCCATGGCAGAAGCGTCTTCCTGGCTTTTGGAATGTTGATGGGGTTTTTTGACTTCTTAGGCATTATTTGTATTTTTGTCTTACTATTATGATTTTGCCCTTACCACCTTGGTGTGATTTGGGTTTTTATTGGTTTCCCACCTGTGAAGCAGAGGAGGAGTGGATACAGAAGGATAATAACAGATACAAGGGGTTATAGAGAATGCAGGGGTGGGGGTTGGGAGGGAAAGGGGATTTCGGGAGTAAATAATAAAGGCGGGAAGGGGAAGGAAGCACTAGGACGGATTGTGATTGCACAATTCATTTTAAAGGCGATTTAACCAGGGGGGGGGGGTGATGCTCTAAAAGTGACGTGGTAATGATTGCGCAATCCTTGATATGATTGAACTATTTAATTGTATGATATATAAATTATGTGTCAATAGAACTGTTGGTAAAAACAAACAGTCTGCTACTAGCAGGGCACGAGCACAAAGGCTCAAGTGTGTGCGCGTTGCCAGCCACCAGGGACCTTGCTTCAACCGATTTCTGCAGATCAGAAAATCTCAAAAGCATTTATCATACCCCAGGTTGTCCCCAGACCCCAAACTGCAAAAGGCTGACAGACACCACGCGAGCACCTGATGAAATACAAATCCGTGCACCTAAAACATAAGAGAACCGCCAAATGCAAGGAAGACACCCACCCGCCCACACAGAAAGCCTCCCAGGCCTCTGTCGCCTCCCGGCTTCTCAGCCGCCCGCGCGCTACGCTGACCGGAAAAGGCGGATGCGGGGAAGCACCCGCTCGTAACCCATCGCGCCAGTCAGCAAGACACAAACCTTTCCCTGGCTCACCTTTCCCTGGTCCTCACCAGCGCTTCTACCGGGGCGGATGCTCTCCGTCACCGCCGCAATCTCAGAAAGCCGGGACCCACACTGGTCAATTACCTTACCTGGGCGCAGCCATATTGGAGACAGCGGCACTACATTTCCCAGAAGTCAGCGGGCGACGAGCAGCGCTCCCACAATCCCTTTCGCCGCCCCGAGACTCGTTTAACCGCTTTAGCGGCTACGAGTTTGGTTTGTTCATCTTTTACGTTGAGATTTCTGCTGTCTTATAGGAGGGAACAGCAATGGTTGGGAATCCATCGTCTTTTGATCAGTGGATTCCCACAACAGACACATTGAATCAAATTTTTGTTTTCCTTCTGTGCTGGCCCGCAGTAATTGTGTCCCACCGCACTGGGGATCTGTAATCTTCCTCCTGAATCTGAACGGTGCGGATCCTAAGGTTGGCAAGATGAGCATGTCAAAGTGAGTATCACCGAGCACTAAGATGTGTGAAGGAATGGTGAGGGAGGACTGCCATCAAATTGACTTTCTGTCATGTACGACTGAAATGTAATCTGGAAGATTACCGAAATAAAATGGATGCAACCAGTTTCAGGGAGAAGCTGAGAAGAGAGACCACAAACCGACTCTTTACCAGGGTAGGGCAGTTGTAAAGTGAAAAAGCAACAAGATATTAAATACTTAAGCAACGACAGAGGAAAAGATAATAGGTTGGAAATAGGTGATAGATTGGAAATTAAAACCAAAAGAGATTGATTGGATCCTGCCTGCATTGGATTGTGAGCTTGGTGAGTGTAAGGAAGGAGGGGTGAGAGTGGGGCACCATTCCTAAAACACGAATACAGTACCCTATACAACCTCCACTCAACACCCACTCCCACCCGACCCACACACACACACAGTGGATGTTTCGATTAAAGTTTCAATGCTGTTGGCTAGGAAAAGTGGCATGAGCCCGAGACCGGCCTTGAGAGGAGGAATAATTTGTTTGGAGACTAGGTTGTTGTCTAGTGCAGCAGAATGAAGCAAACACTCCTTATCCTGCACCAACCTCACAATGGTTACGATTGAGCCCATATTTGCGGTCACTGTGTCAGCCCAGCTTGCTGAGTCCCGACTTTACCAAGCACCATGCCCTTTTGGAGGGACTGATCTCTTCTGTTGGCATGTCCAAAATACATGAGATGAAGTCTCATCGTCCTGGCATCTAAGAATTCTGGCTGCACCTCTTCCAAGACAGAGTGGTGTATTCTTCTGGCAGTCCATAGTAGACAAATGTGTTGAGGATACCATATTCTCAGCACAATTCAAATGCATCGGTTCCTCTTCAGCCGTCCTTATTCCCTGTCCAGCGTTCCCCTGCAAAGTGAGGCCACTGGAATACCACGGCTGGGCAGGCTCACCCTGCTCTTTCGCAATGTCTTTGCTCTCCGATACTCTAAAAAAGTCTTTGGCTGCATATTTTCCCAGTGCAATATGCCATTGATTCCTTGACAATTGCTTCCATGACATTTTGGACTTCATTTTTTTTTTCTGTTTATCATGATGCTTTTTATTCATCGAGTTGTGAAAATTTTTGCTTTTTTTCACATCGAGGTGTAATTCATACAGAAGTCTGTAGTCTTTGATCTTCTTTAGTACTTACTTCAAGTCCTTTTTGCGTTCAGCAAGCAGATATGTCATCTGCATATCACAGGTGGTTAATGAGTCTTAGTCCAATTTTGATGCTGTGTCTCTCTTCATATAGTCTAGCTAGCCTCTAGGATTGTAAATATGGTGAAAGGATACAACCTTAGTGCATATCTTTTCGGCTTTTAAACCATACAATATGTCCTTATTCTAACGAATGCCTCTTTGTCTCTGTATACAGGTTCCATATGTAGTCAGTGGTATAATTCAATTCAGTGTTCTGGAATTCACCTTCTTTGAAACGGTATTCATCATTTATTATGATCCACCCTGGGAAATGCCTCTCATAGCCAATAAAACACAGAGAAGCCTCTTTCTGGTACTCTGTGCTTTTAGCCAAGATCCATCTGGCATCAGCAGTGATATCCCTTGTTTCACGTCCTCTTCTGAATTCAGCTTAGCTCCCTGCTGAAGTAGTGCTGCAGCCATTTTTTAACGTATCTTCAGCAAAATTTTACTTGCATGTGTTATTACTGATTTTGTTGGATAATTTCTTCCTTCTGTTGGGTCAATGTTCTTTAGAGTGCACACCAACATGGATCTCTTCCTGTCATTTGGTCGGGTGGTTGGGTTCCAAATTTCTTGGCATAGACTAGGGAGTGCTTCCAGGATTGCATCCATGGAAAACAGGATAGAAGGAGGAAACACCAGTTAAGAGGCCGTGGAGATAGCCATTGCTGTGAAAGAGCCATGATGCCCAAACTGGATAGCAAAAGGGAAGAGGAGAGAGCAAACTGGAGGTGACCTCAACAGGCATAGCAAAGTGCTGAAAGGCAGAAGAGAGGGAACATGAGGAGTCTTCCATTGTTGTTTCGCTTTCCCACGATAAAAACCGTAGTCAAGCAGTCAAGTCCGATTCATGGTTATGCATGCGTGAGAAAAACTGCACCCACAGAGCTCCAATGGATGAGTTTTCTAACGTAGATCTAGAAGCCTTTCTTCTAAGGTCCCTCTCGGTGGGCTTGAACCTTCAACCTTTATCACTAGCAGCTGAGCACTTGAACCTTCTGTTAAAGGCAGTACATTCCAATAGAATCGTCATGCTGATGGAAATGTCTTATACTATGGGCTTTCCAGTAGAGTGACCACCTGTGGCTTGTGAGCATTTGAAATGTGGCTAGTGTAACTGAGGAACTGAATTTTATTTTCAATTGTATTCAGCTTTAATTTAAATCTAAATGCCACATGTGACTAGGGACTCCCTAATTGGACAACATCGTCAAATGTCACCCAGCATTTTCTGTTCACCAGATTCCATGACTTCCTCCCTGTGAACACCACAAGGAGCCCTATTGGCACTGTGGTTAAAGTGCTGAGCTGCCAACTGGAAGGTCGGAGGTTCCAATCCATATGCAGATGAAACTAAGGCTATGAATCAGAGATTATCCTGGATGGTTCAGAGGCCTAATCTGACCACGCAATTCCTTAAAAGCGAAGAATTTACTCGGGAGCAAGAAAAATAAGGTAGAAGGAAAAGTCAGAATGACTCTGCCTGTGGGAGGATTTAAGGAGTCTATGCTGGCTCTGAGATGTAAGGGTCCAAGGGTAAGGAGTGGAGCAAAGCCTCTTTTGAGCTAGGGGCAACTCCCAGATGAAGGCTGGTCAGGAAATGGGGATCTCGGTCCTACGCGCACAAGGAATAGATTAAGTCTCACAAGCACAAGGAACTGGATTCGGGTAACAACCTGGATAAGCTAGTTAGCAGATGCATTCCAAGGCATCCTGATAAGACCCCAGCCTAAGCCATGCCTACATCTGCAGCGAATTACAGAACCCTCAGATGGGAGGAAGGGGCCTGAAGGAGCAGGAAGAGTTGAGATCAAGATGATGAGACGGTCTAGCAGTGTGGAAAAGGTGGACATTTGGGTCATCTTTAATCGCCACCTCACAGGGACCAGGCATGTGCTGATCTTTCTAATAAAAAGAATTCACGTACTCCCCAAGACCAATTATATCCTGAGGGATACTGTCCCCTCCATGATCCTACTGACCATGCAATCTGAGAGACCTGGTGAGAGGTGCTTGAGCGAAGAAAGGCCCAGATGTCATGGACCCTGCGCATGCTAGGGGTGGACTGGTTGCTGCTGCTCATTTCTGTCCAGTTGATTTTCACTCGTGACTCCATGTAAACAGAGGGGAGTGCTCATCGGATTTTTACGTTTTGGAAGTAGATCTACAGGCCTGTCTTCTAAACTGTCTCTGGGTGGGTAAGAATAGCCCAGGACTCCACAGAAACAGAGTAAGAGTACTTTATGGACCCATCCCTTTAGGAGCAGAGCTGGTCCAGCTGGGTAGAGGCCAGGCTTGGCTCACCACTTGCCATCCCAGAGCTCTAACAGGGTCTTCATGCAATTGAAGACTTTTAGAGCAGCCAACATTGATTGTCACCTCCTATTTGCCAGGCCTGGAACTGTTCATCTCTGCTATCCCAAGCTTCTAGCCGAGGGACCTGTGGTGTGCTCCTGCACATGCCTTAGGAGATCTCTAGCCACCCAGCCCCTATTCCTGGCACAACGGTCACTTTCCAGGCACCCATCTTTTGTTTTTATTTTGTTGTTTTAAAGGAAATGACCTTCCATTGGGAATCAAGTCCATTTGGAGATGTTCTGTTCCATGCATCAGATCGTGGCCGGTGCAAACCTTCGTCCTTCCAGGAGCAGGTTGGAAGCCTGGTACTTGCTGTGACTACCTGGGTCATTGCAGGATTCCTGATTTTCTCAAGGAGTCATCAGTATAAGGAGAGGCTGTCCTGTCAAAGATGGAATGAGGTGGACTCTGGCTAAAAAATGTTTCTCTTTTTTGGGTGCTGGTCATTGCCATCTTGGCAGATGGAAGTCAAAAGGTGCAACAAGGTGTTCCCACCTCTGCCCTATGGATGTGAACAGACAGATGAAAGGTTTCTACCTGATGACTCTGCTCTCAGGACCCCTCAAGATCTGTGGGAGCAAACCTTTGGGCCCCAGTGCCTTCCTTGAATGTGGCACTTCTTTTGCCCTTTGTGAGAAAGCTCTACTTGCCTTTTATCGTAGGTTATGTCCCCGGGATGACTGGGCCAGGTCAGTTAGGGCCTGAGCTGTGAGAATCAGACTCTGTGCTCAGGCCCTGGACGCCACCAAAACGGCCTCCCTGCAGAGCTCGCTGGTGCACCTGGGAGACACCTGCAGCTATTGGGAGGGAGCAAGGGAATACCTCAGCATCACCTCACAAGTAAACTGGCTCATGCCTTTATTGGGAGTATGAAGGACATGATGTTGAAGTTAGAACCCTCCTGTATTGCTGATGGCAATAGAAAATGGTACAGCCTCCATGGAAAACAGTTTGGCTCCTCAGAATTTAAACAGAATTTCCATATTACCCAGCAATTGCAAAAGAATAAAAGGTGATTCCTCAAAGACTAG